CCCCCATCACCCCCGCCCTTTCCCCCCCCCTCCCCCTTTCCCCCCCCTCCCGCCCCCCCCCTAACCCCAACCCCCCCCCCCCAATGCGGAACTCCTCTCCTATGATAAGACTGTAATTTCCCGTACCAACTCCGTCAAGAGACGTCCATTTTCACTCCGTGGCTTAAATTCAACTCCCAGGGGCAAGCGCCAACTACGAGACGGAAAAGGCCCATTTTATTAAAAGGACTAATCGAGGCATCAGGTTTCCTAGTGAGTGAGCGCTCATTCCCTCACATGGCTAGACCCAATTATTGAAATTCAGCTCTGTGAGTCAGACAAACTTGTGTGAGTGGAACTAATCAGCCAAAGCTCGAACTGTTCCTTGAGGGACTTTAAGGGGATGGGCTCTGTACGTCTTAGCATCGCTGTCTGTTTCTACGCTGTCCGTGTTTACATTTTGTCTGTTTACATGCTGTCTGTTTCTACGTTGTCTGTGTTTATATGCTGTCTTTTACTTTGTTCTTTAACATGTTTTTTTTTGGGTTGTGTTTTGCGTATAAGATGATTGTTCATATTTTGTAAGTCTCTCTACCTTTATGTGTGTGCTGGTGACATCAGTTGTTGTTTTTACAAAAATAAATCACTCATGCCTATAACTTTAAAATGTCGTCATTCATTTTCGTGTTCCAAAAGATGAAATTATTGTGTCTGAATGATTTCGATCAATAATTTTTTAAGTGCAGTGGAACCCCGCTATAACGCGCCCCTCCATAACGCGAATTAGGATATAACGCGGTCGTAGCATGGCTCCCAAAATTTGAAATTCATTTACTCCATCGGGCCTAAGTTCTTTGAAAATTGTATTCATTGCTTGGAAAGCAATTTTTTAAATCGAAAAAAAATCACAACTTTTCAAAATATCGTAGAAAATGAGCCCCTAAACGCACCACGTTCAAACTAGTATCAAAATTAATGCCGAAAACGAGGCTTTCTTCCGGTAGAAATATGTAAAACCGCGCATTAACGGAACCCCGCTTTTAACGCGATCCGATTTCATGGACCCCGATCATCGCGTTATAGCGGGGTTCTACTGTAGCTTGAAATAAACCGAAAAAAAAATGGCGGCGGCGATCCATGAACTTCCCAATCTTCTAAAGTCACGTGACAAAACATACATTTAAGTGGTGCACTTTTTAAGAATCCCAATCAATGCTAACTTCTGGGAATTTTATTTTTTGCGCCTATTGAACACATCGCTATTGTCGTACATACACATCTTAAGATTTATTATTAACGAAAATAGTTATATTGTTGTTCGTACTTCGCAGGCGAAGATGACCAGGACAATTTTTCGACCGGAGTAGTAGCCTTGGCTTGTGTTTTGTTTAAAGTGAGGGAGAGTTGCTCAATTTGCCAGCCGCGCTCTCTCTTCCATACCTATTTGATCCAATGGCAAGACGTAGTCAAGACGACTGGCAATAGATCAGGATGCAGTCGATGACCAGCAATGTGTGTGTGTTTCACAGTGCTCTTATGCGCTCTACGTCGCAGGAGCTGTTGCAATTTTCATTGTGTCAGTGTCATACCACCTACAGGGGCTCCATCTCTGGGTTTGATTTCAGATTTTGTCTTCTCTTGGATGAGTTTGCCCCCCCCCCCCCCCCCCCCAGGGTTAACGAGTCCCATCCAACCCGGGGTGCTGGTGATATAATATCGAAACAGATATGGAATCTAAGTCTGCAAAATAAGCATTACATCAAAAAAAGATAACCATATATAGCTTAAACGTAACGCTAGCCACAAAGTC